GGTTTATGCAGCTATAAAAGAAGGCTGGAAAGTCCAAAATCTATAGTGTGGGCCATTAGGGTGGACACCCAGGGAAGAGCCACTGTTGCATGCTTTAGCTCAAACCCAGAGGTTATTTGCTGACAATGTTTTTGTTTTTCTTGAGAGAGGTCAGTCTGATCTTATTCAGTCCTTCAACTGATTGTATAAAGCCCATCCACAATATAGAGGGCAGTCTGCTTTACTCAAAACCCACTAATTTAAAGCCATGCTCACCCAAAAACATTCTTCTAGAAATGTCTAGAGTGATATTTCACTAAATATCTGGGCTCAGTGGTCCAGCCATGTTAACTCATAAAATTAGCAATTACAATGAATAAAGTTTGTTTCATCAACAATTTCTAATTCCTTCTTCCATATCTTGTCCCCCATCACCATATTCAGTTCCACATATCCTTATATTGCCCCTTTCTTGCCCAAGGTAGTCTGTTCAATTCTACTCCTGATTTTAGAATTATATTTATCTTATCCCTATTACAACCCCCACTTCCCAGGAAACTTTTCACAACTGTTATCCAAATAAAAGGTAACCCTATAAATAGTCTCTATTATTTATTAAACTATTTACTGTGTTAATAGTTTATGTTGAATCATTAACTATTGATTCAATATAATCAATAGTTGATTAATACAGAACTCCCATGAGTGTTCTGTATTAATCAACTAATACATTAAGTCGTGGGAGTGTTCTGTATTAAATGCACATGGACAGGTAGAGTTAAGAAAATGTAATGGGTAGGGAATGGAGACAATTTTTGACAAGGGAATTTTCTGGCTGCCTTATAATGTCATTTTGTGGGTGGCTATCCAGTCCTTGTATAGTCAAACCTCAGCCATTTAATACCTGGTTCTCCTTTTTGTTTTTCCTCCTCTGCTCCACGTTTTACTTTTTATTGAACATGTTACAAAAGAGGTTTAGTTAAAAAGATCAAATCCCACGTCATCGTCAGACTCCTCAGATTCTTGTTTCTTTGCTTCCACTTCCTTCTCCTCAGCTGGGGCAGCAGTGATGGTGGTGGAGACAGGTCCTCCTGCTGGAACAGGTCTGCCAGCCCCCACATTGCTGATGAGGGTCCTGATGTCGACATTGGCCTGGGCCTTTGCAAACAAGCCAGGCCCAAAAGGTCCAAAATTTACACCAGATATTTTATTTATTTTTTATTTTTATTTTTTTAGTTGTTGTTGGACACATACCTTTTTTATTTTTTATGTGGTGCTGAGAATCGAACTCAGGGCCTCACTCATGCTAGGCAAACACTCTACTGCTGAGCCACAATCGCAGCCCCACCAGATGTTTTAATTACGACATTGTTTTTAATATTCTTCTCCATGAAGGATGAGATTGGGCTAGATGCAGGCAAGTTCAGGAATGAAGGCCATGGTGAGGGTATGCTCAGTGCTACTTCAGTGAGGAGAGGGCCTCACCCAGTAAATCCTTAGCTTTCTCAGAAGGATAAATCACTGCGGTGGCAGCTGAGGAAAGTCTGTTCCTTTTTAATGCTTTTTTCCAAAAAGGATAAATGTAAAGATAAATAATTTTTTAAAATTTAATACCTTTATTCCATTCATTTATTTTTATGCGCCCCTGCGCATGCTAGGTGAGCACTCTACAATCCCAGCCCTAGAAGTTGGAGATGGTATTCTTTTTTTTTTTTTTTTCAGGAACTTGCAGGAGTTTAGTAGAGTTGGACAACAAGATGCTGAAATAGCGTGGTAGGAGATGACACTAATAAAACTGTCAGGAGTGAGATCCTGAATAACTATGTAGATATCACAGGAGTCTGGAATGCCTCTTGAAGGGGAAAGGTACCCATTGGATGGGAAGCAGGGTTAAATAAGGTCCGATTTGTATTTTTGAAAGGTTCCTCTTGTGTGAAGGTTCTCAGGATGAATTGTAGCCATGGTGGAATAACAGTGGTTCACTCATGTGGGTGCCTTTTATTCTTGTCTTTTTTTTTCCTTCTCATAGGCCTCAGGGGCTCAACTTATTTCTTTTTCCTTTGGTACATGCCACCATTTTTTCTGTCCATTGGATATATTTCTACAAAATTCCCTAAGATTGGGACATATGTGTCCTAGCTCCTCATATTTTTATTATATACAAGCCTTTTTGTCTTAATAGCTATTGGTATTTATTGGAATATGAAGACAGAGGGTTACAAAAATCACAAACATGGGGATGTTTAAAAACCTTAAGCTATTTCAACTATAGTTTTTTGATTCTTTAGAAATGGCAACCGGAAGCCCAGCCATCCTTCAACCCATCAAGCTTCATGGTAAGGAGGACACTGATAGCCATTGAATCTGATGGGACTAAATATGTGAATAGGGAAATGTACCTCCATAAAGAAATGATGAGTGATATGTCATTACTCTCCTTTTAAAGTTAAGTTAGTTCAGAACTTTTTGATTAGGAGAGAAAATCCTTTCCATTTTCTCGATGTTCAAATTAGACCCAGATGTCCCCTTTCCTTCATGTATCATTTATTTTTCTCTTCTGTCTTTATTCTCAAAATACCTAAAGCAGAGCTCCATATAGCTGAGGGTTAGACAAAGTTCTTCTGTATCAGTGTCTTGACTGGCCCATAGTTACAAAGGTTTCTTTGTTATGGTGTTAGTGATGTTTTTTAAGGCTGGGTTGGGTAAATATTAGCCTTTAAAGTTTCTTCCTTTCAATTGGTACATAAGCAATTTCCAAAACAGCTGTAGAATAGAGATGGATAGGACAGACTGGTAAGTCATTGTGAGAGAGTATCAGGCAAGAAGAAAGCAAGGGGTTCAATAGATTATAATAGTTGGGAGCCTGAGAACTTTAGTGGTAAGCTGGTGTCAATAGCTTTTCTGCCAGTGAACAAAGATATTGCTTAAGCATTGGAACCACACCTTGAGTCTTCGGCAATCTCATCCAAATCTTGCCAGAAACTCTTAGATGAGGGTTCTTAGGCTAAGATGTATATCTACAGAGACTTTGTTTCTTGAATTAAGAAATGTATTGCCACTGGGACTTGTGGTGCATGCCTGCAATCCCAGAAACTCAGGAGGCTGAGGTAGGAGGATCACAAGTTCCAGAACAACCTCAGAAACTTAGCAAGGGCTTAAACAACCTAGTGAGACCCTGTCTCAAAATTTTAAAAAAAATAAATAAATAAAAAGCTGGGGATGTAGCTCAGAGGCAGATCACCCCTGGGTTCAATCCCCAATACAGGAAGGGGAGGTCTTCAGATTAAAAACAAAAACAGAGATTTATCTTTTCCTTTGTTTCCTCAGTACCGGGGATTAAGTCCAGGGGTGCTCTGCTTCTGAGCTACATATCCAGTCCTTTATTGTAATGTTTTATTTTGAGACAGGGTCTCGCTAAGTTGCTCTGGCTGATGTGGAACTTGTGACACTCCTGTGCATTTGCCACGTTGCATGACTCATTTAGGGACTGTCTTTAAGGACTTGAAATAACAAAGGGCTTTTAGGTGAGAAACACTTTGCTAGTTAAATGTGACATTTTCTAGTCTATCTCCTTTTTACAATTTTTATTGGTGCATTATAATTATACATAATTATGGGATTCATTTTTGACATATTTGTACATGCACACATGTCCTTTGTTCACTTGATTCTGTAACTAGCTGTGAAAGATCAATTCTGCTAAGATGACATTTTTCTTTTCACTACTTCAAAAAATTTTTCCATCCATTACTTCTTGGTAGAGTCTATACTAGTTGTTGGCTATATACTCATTCTAACTTCAAGAAACTTATGTAGCTTAGTGAGGAGATATTAAAAGAATCATAAAATATAGAAACATGTTGCTTTAAAGGTGGCAGCTCAAAGAATCAGAGTTTAAGTCATGTCTCTATGTTTGGGGAGGGGAAAAAAAGGTTTCCTTGAAGAGGCAACGTTTACACAGTTATGGGGTGTGTGTGGGGGACTCCAGTAGAGTAACCAAAATGTGCAAAAGAACTGAGAATTGTTGGTCCAGTTGGAGAACTACATGTTCAGCCTCTTGGAGTGTATAGGGCTGCCTCAACCGCGGTCAGAACACCAGGGTTTCTGTGTGCCATGTAAGTTGATGTGATTCTAGAGCTATTAATAGAAATCTGATAACTATCTACATTTGACTAAAGATACCATTTAAATCTTCCTGAAGCAAACGCGCAGGTAATGATTTTTCAGAAACATTCCTCTCTAATCAAGTCTCTCTTGGCAGGAATGGTGGTATATTAATTTATAGGACTAAAAGTTCATGAGTCAAACGTGCTGACGGCCAGTTTTCAGTCCTCTCAGGTGGGCCAGCAGAGTAAGGCCAGCTCTCTTAAGTCCAGGCGCAGAGTGTTGGATAGTTGAGCCTGCCATTCCTCCTCTCTCCGAAATAAACTGAGGATTAGGGAGGCGATGGATGGGTACGGAGGGCTTTTAGAGGTCAAGCACATTACTCAGATCTTAAGTTGGGAACTGAAAGGTCTGTCACCAGAAAGACTGCCCGAACCTGAATGGCGATTTGCAGTCAAGAATTCTGGTACCTCTCTCTCCTCTCCTCACCTCTTCTAATCATTTGCAGTTTTTCCTCAGCTATTTGTCCTTTACCCACCCTGACTTGTCTGTCTCCCACGATCTCCTTTCCAAGTCTTTTGCTTTCTTTCTCCTCTTTCCTGCCTCGTGGGGTGCCAGTACTCGGAGCTTGGGCAGTTATTTGCTTTGCTAGCATTTCCATCCTCCTCCTTCTATCATTTCTCGCAGGAGCCCAGTCCTCCCCTACCGCCGGGTTGGTCGGGTAGTTAGCCCGGAGGCGGCTCCAGGAACCTGAGGCGGATGCAGCCACGAGTCTGCCACGTCTTCGCTGCCAGCTGTCCAGCGCCTGCGTGGGGTCTGGGGGCGGGGCTGCGCGAGGGGCGGTATCTGCGCGTGAGCGGCGCGTGAGCGGCCCAATGGGGAGTGCCGGCGGCGGCGCGCTGCGCGCCGAGGGGCGGGGCTCGGCGGCGGTTGCTGGCGGAGCCTGGGAGGGCGAGGAGGCTATAGTTACCTCCGCCGTCGCATCCTCGAGGGAGTCGTGTCGCCGCCATCCCCGCCCCCGAGCTTGTCCACCGCCTCTGGAGCTCTTGTGTGCTCCCGGGAATCTCGCTAGCTGTCTGCCCTTGGCCTTGCGGACCGCGCCTCCAGCAGCATGTGTGGTAAGGGGCCGCGGGCGGGGGGCGTGTTGCGGGGCGGTGCTGGGGTGCGGTGCGGGCGCCGCGGAGGCCAGAGACGCCGGGTGGGAGTGGGAGTGCCGAGGGTACGAAGTCTGGGTGATAAGGCAAGGGGATGCCTGAGGTGGCAGCTGCGGCTGTCGCGGGGGCGGGAGTCCCAGTGGTGGTCCGGAGGAGGACACCTGAGAGGCAGGCGGGCGGGCCCAAGAGGCGATCCCAGGAGCCGGAGGGGGAGCCTTTGCGCATAGAAGGAACCAAGAGGAGCGAGAAATACCTATAGGGAAAAAGGAGGAGAGTGCTGAAGGAAAGGCGGGGTGTGAAGGGGGTGTCTGTAAAAGGGTTCACCAGGTGAGGCAACCTGTAGAACATCGAGTGGCATGTGTTGAACTTATCTTGCATTCTTTAAAAACAAAAACAAACCTTAATTTTATTCTCTTTCTTTCAAGCAGGCCCAATAGAAAACAGATACTAAATCTAGCTAGAGCTACAACAATGACATTATATATGGTCTTACTTCCTGCCACTCCCTGTCTCAACATAAGCCATTGCTAATCAATAACTTGATGAAGTAGGCTTAGATCTGATCCCCTGGTGTAAGAGCCCCTGAAATGTCCCTGGTGATAGATCGCACATCATGTTATCACTTGCATGTGCACCCATTTAAAATACTCGCTATGAAAAATTTAACGAGTGTCTTTCCTAGAACAGTTAAAAAGTAAAGTTAGACCCTTTTATTCCATGTTTGGGAGTTGTTTTATTACCCCAAAGTGTTGACATTTCCAGAATGGAATATTTTAAAAAATATTTTTTAGTTGTTGATGTACCTTTATTATTTATTTATTTATTTATATGTGGTGCTGAGGATCGAACTCAGTGCCTCACACATGCCAGGCAAGTGCTCTGCCACTGAGCCAAAACCTCAGCCCCCAGAATGGAATCTTAAATTATGGATGTACTTAAACCATTGTCAATAAAAAGAATTGTATTTTTACTTTTCATTTTGAAATTTACAACAGACTTTAATCCTAGAAGACAGAACACTTTTTAAAGAGCAGTACAATTGTTATAGAATTGAAGCTACTTGGGAAACTTACTCTTTGCAGCCTTTGGCATGAAGGGACTGAGCAGGAGGTGGATTGTACTCACTAGTGTATATTTTTCCTATATTTAACTTTATGTTCATTTCAGCTTCTGAAAATGAGGAGCAGGTTTAAATTTAGAGTTGATTTTAAAAAAACACATAAAAACAAATGCCTATAAATAGCTTACTGAAATTAATAGAGTTGAGCTGATTTCGGAATCAGTTATACTTTTGCTATGTCTATGTGGTTTTTGTAAAACACATAATTAGTTTGGAGTTGTGAAATAGTGAATTTGCAAAGTGGTTAATCCCTGTTGTGCTCATGGCATTTAACTGCTTTTGAATGATGAGTTATATGCCTGGTATTCTGATTGCAGGTCATTTCCTCATCTTGTTCCAGGAAAAAAGGGTGTCAAAGTAATATAAGATTAAAAAAAAAAAGACAGAAAAGATCTGATTTAGGAAAGGTTTATATAAGGGTGAAACTTTCAGGGTGGAGACTAAATATTGACAGTTTTCGCAAAGCCAATATAGAATATCCATTCAGCAGAGTTTTACTGTTGAGAAAACCCATTATAAAGAATAAATAAGCTAGTACAACATTTTAGGCATTTCTGAGGTCCTGTTTATAACCCTGGCCATAGTTTTACATGATTCCAGGTGGGGTCCAGAATTTATTTCCTCTATAATGCAAATTCTGAAAGTTAACTGTTAAGAAGGTGAGAGTTTGCCTTTATTTTGCTTCCATAGCTTAATCACCGAAGTGAAATTTGGTCAGAAAAATTGAGTGGAAATGAGAATAGATGGAAGCATTAGAAGTTTCTAAATATTTGAGGCTGGGTGCAGTAATACACTCCTGTAATCAAGCAACTTAGAAGGCTGAGGCAGGAGGATCACAAGTTTGCCACCCTCTGTAATTAAGCAAGAGTTATGTCTTGTTAAGAATGAAATAAAGAATAGAAAGGACTGGGAATGTAGCTCAGTGATAGAGTGCTCTTGGGTTCAATCCCCAGTAGGGGGGAAAAAAAAGTAATTTACCTTGTGATTACTTGTTGCCTAGTTTAGTTTTTCTAAAAGATTATTTTGTTTCAACCTTATAAAATGTTGAAGCAGAAAAATAAGGATTGGAGTTTCTGTGATATTCTTTTTTCAATCAGATATACTGATAAAACTTAACATGTTTGTAACTTTTTATTGGATTGTTGGAAAAAAAAAAGAGATCCTGTGGTCAGTCAGATTTGAGTAGCAACAGTGTGGCACTTTTTTTGGGGGGGGGGGCTTAGAACCTTTAAGGGGTTAAAAGTAAGGATTGTGAATCTCTCAGAAAATAATAGGGTACCTGTTTTTCAAAATATTTTATCTTTCATTCTTGGTTCTTTGTAATACACTTGATTCTTTTTATTTGTATTACGTTTGGTTTTGCTGAGAGGGTATCAGGTCACTTAAACTGCTACTTAAACCTTTTCATAGGTTTTTGCTGTTTTTAAAAACATGGAATTTTACCCTTCTGATCTGATGCTATATGTAAATTTTGCAAATGAGGTTCTACTCAAAAGCAATGGGGGAATTTGTAATTTAAAAGTATCCTGAGATGTATCAATTTTCTTTTTTTTTTTTTTTGGTAATTGTATCATGTAATAGAGTTGGAAGTAATTGAAGGATTCCGAGACTGGCTGTTAGGATGAGTCATAAAACCAGTACTATTAACATCGTTAGAAATCATACTGGAATACTGGATATAAAGAAGTTCTGAGAGAAAATAATTAATTGCTTAATAAGCATTTCCTCAGTTTTGTTCCTTAGAAAGGGAGAAGTTAATAGGTGCTGATTATGAACAGTAAAAATGGGAAAGGGTCTTGTATGTTACACACCTATTTGGGAAAACTGCTCTTTGAGATTCATGATTAGTAAGATTAAGGATTCTAAAAAGTCCCCAAACCTGTTAGTTTAGTTTAACCCAGTATTCTTAATTACTTTTTTAATAAAACCTCCTCATCCTTTTTTAGTATCCTGCAAAATAGTATTCTGTTTCTGTGGTTTGGAAATTCTTGACTATATTTCAGGTACCTAGAAAGTGTTAGAAGATACTTGAAGATATTTGAAGTGGTATCTTTATACTTGACACTCTGTCCTTTGGAGAGTTGACTAAAGCAAGGGAGTTCAAGTAATTGCTTTCTAGACAGGGGAAGCAAAGTGAATACACATGGAATAGCTGTATGTGATAATCCACAGTCCTTGTTCATTATCATATTATAGACCACAAGAGGAAAGTAGAAATTCAGAGACTCAGAGAGACCTTTTAGGTATCTGTGTTAGACCAGGAGTATTCCTAATGATGGGGCATGATTCTTAGCTTGAGAAATAGTGTTGGCTGGTGGAGAGTGTTCTATGAGAGGTAATCATTGATGGCATCTATTACCGGTCTGTGAATGGAGTCAGAAATAGATTGAGAACCACCGTTGCCAGGGGTGTTGATGGAAGAGATGTAGGTTCCAGGAAAAGAGACCAAAGAAGAGTGGTTAAAGGCAAAAGAGTCCAGATAGTATCTTGCCTTGGGGAGTCTGCAAAAGGAGAAGAAGGTCATTTTGTGTGTGCATGCATGTGGGTTGCTGTGTGTGTGTGTGTGTGTGCGCGCTGCTGGGATAGAATCCAGTGCCTTGAATATACTAGGCAAGTTCTCTACCACTGGGATATCCCCCAGCCAGAAGTCATTCATGATTTTTTAAAAAATATCTTTATTTTACTTATTTATTTTTATGTGGTGCTGAGAATCGAACCCAGGGCCTTACACATGCTAAGCAAATGCTCTACCACTGAGCTACAACCCCAGCCTGTCATTCATGGTTTAATATTCAGACAGAAGTTAATTGGATTTGTTTATAGAGAATCACCAGAGAAGTTGCACATATGAAGGTGGAAGGACCCAAGTTTGTGTTCAATAAAAGGGTGGCCAATACCAATAACAAAGAGGGAATATTTTGGGAATGGGGTCCCTTAGGAATGTTGAAAAGTTGTTTTCTTGAGCTATGGTTCCTGACCTATAAACTGAGAAGTCATTACAGGGTATTCATTGCTTGATTCATACTGTACACAATGTCTGTAAGTTGAATAAAAATTGTTCTAGATCATTGAATAATAAAAATTAGCGCACAAAATGTTCTGTATTTGTAAAGCTGAGGAATCACTCATCAAGAGCTACAAATAGGAGAGGCTAGCTTCAGAGGTTGGTATGGGGGATAATGTCTCTCTCTTGAATGTTTAGGGAAGGATGAGTGGTACATAGCATATTATAGTATTAGAAATGAAGATGAAGGTTTCAATTCTATAGTGAGAATCTACCAAAAATGAGAAAGAAGCTGAGAAGAGAGAAATAGGGATTGGAGAGTAATGTGTATTCTAGACTCTAAAATAATATGTGGGGGAAGTTTGAAAGTTAGGCAAAGGATGAATTAACAGGATTGGTCAACAGTTTGGGAAGGCCCATATAAAAGTGGACTGAAATGAATGGATGAGTTCTGCATGTCTGTCGTAGGTGGATACAGGGTTGGGACTCAGTAATAAGAGCACAGTGGTCCCAAAGGTGCTGACTTGGCAGAATGATAAAAAGTTGTAGTATGATGTGAATAGTCAGAAAGAAATGGGAAGGATAGATGGACTCTTTGAAGACTTGTGAGAGAAAGTAAATGCTTTTATCTTGAGAAAGATGATCACTTAGGCAGACTATGAGGGAGTGTGTTACTAGAAACTTTAGGACTTAACAGTGCTTTGAGCTCCAGAATATTAAATGTGCAAGATAGGTGTCTTGGAGCCCCATCCAGTGCAACACACAGTTTCAACAAGGGAGTGGAGACTTGAACCAGCACCTCCCATCCCCACATTCTGGGGATTGAACCTAGAATCTCAGATGTACTAAGCCTGTGCTCTACTACTGAGCCATACTCCAAGCCAAACCAGAGTTTTGTAAATAGGGGGAAAAAAGATATAAAGCAATTTAAAAACCACAGAAGTAACTGAAATTCTTCACTGTGTTACTCTGTTGTAATTTTTTCTTTGTTTTTAGGATTATTGAAAATGTTAAGCAGGTTGCAGTAGTGCACTTGGGAAGCTGAAGCAGGAGGATCCCAAGTTCTAGGCCAGCCTTGTAAATTTAGCAAGACTTTCTCTCAAAACAAAATGAAAAAGAGCTGGGAATGTAACTCAGTGATAGAGTGTTTGCCTTGAATTAGTGAGGTCCTTAATTCACAGTACTGCAGAAAAGAAAAGAAAAAATATTATCTCAAATAGTACTTCTTTTTTAAAAAGGAATCTCACATGTAGAATGTGACTGCATAATTATAATGCTGAATAGTTTTATGATAAGCATCAGATTGATGTGTATTAGTTTATTTGCATCATTTTAATAGCAAAGACTCAGACAAATCTTAGTAGGGAAGTAGTTATATAAAAAATGATAAATGTACTATATACTAGAATGCAATATTAAGTAGAATGAAGTACATGTTGTACATACATAGAAAGATCACCAACATCTTAAGTTAAAAAAGTACAGAACAATATGTATGCTATCATCACATTCGTGTATTTTTTTTTTTTTTTTAAAAAGCCCTCTACACTGTGTACATCAAGGTTTGTAAATGTAGAAAAGTTCATAGCTAAAGGACAGGCATGATGTGTATGAGAAAGGGATTATTGGAACCTGTGCAGAAGTAGAAATGATTTTCATACTACATTCTATAGCATTTGTACTGTTTAAGTCTTTAATAATATGTAACCTGCATTATAAGAAAAAATAATTTAAAGCTAAGCGGCATTGTAGATGGCTTTTAAGATTCAGAAAGTATTAAATTTAGGGAATGAATTTGAAACTTATCACTAAGAGGTTACAATGTATGGGTCCCAGAATGTTGAAGCTGTCAATGAAAAAGTGACAAAGATCTTTTATTCATAAATACATAAATTGAGCCAGACTTAGCTAATACCTTGACTAGTCAATTAAGTTATATTCAGGTTTAACAGTCTTTATTTGGAACCAGATTGCTTACAACAAGAGTAGGTCTGAGAGTAGGTTGCCTATGAAATTTTTTATGCAGGGTGTTCATAGTGCTTTTATGTCACGTAGTTTTAGTTGCTATTTCTAAAAATGATACCTGTAGGTACAAGAATCTGCTTTAATAAACTATATACTGTTAATAAGAAAACTTACTCTCTGAAAAAGCATGCTGATTTGCAGGTAGAAAATCTCCTATGAGTACAACTACTTTGTGTAGTATTGGATTAATTACCAGAGATTGACCTTTTTAGACTTTGTAGTTTCCTTAATCACAAGTGTTTATTGGGAAGTTTTTGTTTCTTTTCTTGTAGTGGTAGGTATCGAATGCAGGACCTCATGCTTACTGGGGAAATGCTCTGCCACTGAGCTATATCTTCAGTCCTTATTCATTGGTAAATTTGATAAGACAAGTCAAAGGCCTAAAAATAAGGATAATTAGTGATTTTTGTTCTTATTGTTGTTGTTGTTGTTAAAATATATATTTTTTTAGTTGTAGATGGACAAAATGCCTTTATTTTATTTGTTTATTTTTATGTGTTGCTGAGGATCGAACCCACTGTCTCAGGCATACTAGGCAAGTGATCTACAACTGAGCTATAGCCCCAGCCCTAGTGATTTCTGTTCTTATAAGCACCATTTTGAGTATGAATGCCTTCCTGTGAACACATCCTACATGCTTAATTAGCTGGTTATTTGCTATTGTTATATTTTCCGGGCCATCCCAAAATTGCAGATAACTTAGCAAGTGGACTGTCTTGGGCCAGTAGTGCTGTTAAGGGGCAGGTCTGTAAAACTGACAGATTCAACTCCTTAGTTCCCATTTTCCTAACTAGATATGGCTTAGCTAATCCCCTTTCTTCATATACCTTTATTACTTTGATCTTAGAAAATTTCTCTACACATGTCATGGTATCCTTTCATCCTTTTCTTCCTTTCGGTTCCTTCCTAGATAATGTCAGGAAAAACATGTCTTGTTTTTTTTGCTTCCTTTAATCCTCTTCTTTTCTTTTACCAATAGCAAACCAAATAATAAAGATTGAAATGATTATTTGTAAAAGAGGAAACAGGTTTGAGTTGGAACTTGATATATGTGTTTCACTGAACCTAAGATGACACTGATTGGGAAATGCATCATTATCTGAACTGAAAAGAAAGAAAATATGCATATCTCTAAAGCTGGAGAAAGTGTTTTGAATATGCTTTCAAAATAACTAGTTCAGTTATCTGATTGTCTTTACCTTAAACCAGTCATGAATCTTAGTGTTGCTAATAGGGAACCAGCAAACAATATACATATATAGCCCTGGAAACCATTCTGCTCTTGATTGAGTTTTTTTTTAAAATATATTTTTTATGGAGATAGTATCCTTATTTATTTATTTTTATGTGGTACTAAGAAACAAACCCAGTGCCTCACACGTGGGAGGCAAGCACTCTGCCACTGAGCTACAGCCCCAGCCCCTTGATTGAGTTTTTCCTCTAATTCAATTAAGCCTATAGACTTTCCTCCAGGTTACAGGGAATACAAAGGATAGGAGAACTCCTTTATCCAAACTTTGCGGAAACAATTAGATCCATCCTGAACCGTGATACATTCAACAAGAAAATTGGCCCTGCCCTCTTTTGGGGAAAATGGAGCAGTTAGGGAGAGACTATTCCAGATTCAAATGTGAGTTATGATTCTTATTGAATCCTAGAATAAACAACTAGCTGTAAAAGACATATATATGTTTTTGATAATAGGGAAAATTTGGGAAATTGTATTTTTTTGGTACTGGAGACTGGATCCCAGACCTTGAGTTTAACACTACCCATACCTGCTACCACTGTGTCCTATCTCTGAGCTACATCCCAAACCCTTTTTAAATTTTATTTTGGACAGAGTCTTGTTAAGTTTACCAATTTAGGTGATGATGATCTCTTAGGAGTGATAACATTGTGGTTTTATAGAAAAATGTTAATATTTTGTTACTTTGCTATTATTAATCTTTAATAATGTACTGTGAAAATTAATTTGGTAGGTACGATGTATGCAAACAAAATCATGTAAATTATTTAACAAAAAAATGAGGCCCAGAAGAGAAGTATAGTCTGTAGAGATGTTAAAAAGTGTTCAAACTGAAAGCAGGGAATAGTAGGAGGGCGTGCCTGTATTCCAGCAACTCAGGAGACTCAGGAGGAGAAGCACAAGTTCAAGGCCAGCCTTGGCAATTTAACAAGACCCTGTCCAAAATAAAATTTAAAAAAAATTTGGGATGTGGCTCAGAGGTAGGATACAGTGGTAGCAGGTATGGGTAGTGTTAAATTCAAGGCCTGGGGTCCAGCCTCCCGTACCACCAAAAAAAGGGGGGTCTAATGGATCATGAATGTCTCCAAAGCAATCTCAGAAGAAATCTCAGAATATCAAGCTGGATGGGGATTGTAGTTATTATCCTCAAATATCAGAGGTAGGAAATATTAGACCTGATTTACACCCCACATAATAGATGTTGTTAAATCTGTCATGGTTTTCCTTCCTATTCAGGAAATAGGGCCACTGAATCCTTTTCATTGATAGTTTGCAGCCACAACCAGTTAATAATTTGTTGGCATCTGCTGTGAAACCTGTTGGTTACCATTTCAAAGCTGTTCATTTCACAGAAGGGGAAGCTTAGTCAGGGCAGTAGAGTGGAAAACTTTGGGAATACACATGAATTAAAGGAATTAATAGGATTTCTTCAACCCAAGAGTACTTTTTAATGAGGTAACAAATGTTTGGTATGAATTTAATTAGTTTATGAAGTAATTAAAATTTTATAAGTTGGGGGAGGTTGGGTATCAATTTAGAAGATCTTTTTGCTGTTTTTGAAAAATGTACTTAGGATTTTAAGATTCATACATCTAACCAAATTAAACCAATTAAATTGGAGTTAGAAGTAATATCAAAGTAAAAGGCTGCTGTTGAGTTCATGTTTTTAAAACAGTGGATTTAATGCTAGCTACATCACTTTGAATCTTCTTTTTGATAAAATATTGAGTCTGTAACTCACCTTAAAAAGTTTATTTTTAGGGGCTGGGGATGTGGCTCAAGTGGTAGCGCGCTCGCCTGTCCCGGGTTCAATCCTCAGCACCACATACAAACAAAGATGTTGTGTCCACTGAAAACTAAAAGAAAATAAATATTAAAAAATTCTCTCTCTCTCTCTCTTAAAAAAAAAAAAAGTTTATTTTTAGGTGGGAGCAGGGGCACATTCGTGTAGTTCCAGCTACTTGGGAAGCTGAGGCAGGAGGATCACTTGATCCCAGTAGTTTGAGGCCAGTCTGAGCAACATAGTAAGACACCATCTCTTAAAAACAAAAAATCCCAAATCCCCAGTTTGTTTTATATAATTAGCCTTTAAATTATTTTAACAAATTGGTGTTAAATCATTGTATTTCATTTTTAATCTTCAAATGTATTACTTTTTTTGAGGGGGGGACCAGGGATTGAACTCAGGGGCACTCAACCACTGAGCCATATACTCAGCCCTATTTTGTATTTTATTTAGAGTCAGGGTCTCACTGAGTTGCTTAGTGTCTCACAGTTGCTGAGGCTGGCTTTGAACTTGAGATCTTCCTGCTTCAGCCTCTCAAATAGCTAGTATTACAGGTTTCTGGCACTATGCCTGGATGATTTTTTTGAAAACAAAATCTAGCTTAACATTTTTGAACATCCCAGGCATAATTATGTCAATTTTAATTTATTAATCAGAATTTTCCATTAAATATTTGTTTGTTTGCAGGTATATTTGCATACTTAAACTACCATGTTCCTCGCACAAGACGAGAAATATTGGAGACCCTAATCAAAGGCCTTCAGAGATTAGAATACAGAGGATATGATTCTGCAGGTATTTCCTTCTTAAAAAATATGGGTTTTGCATGATTCTTGATCGAAATAGGGTGTTTTTATTATTATTTATTATTTTTATTTATTATTATTTTTTATTATTATTTATATTTATATTTAATGGCTATTTTTAAAAAATTTTATGAATCCAACTCTGAAGAATTTTTATATTTTATCATATTTAAAAGGGTTGTTTATATAATTATTAACAGTGTTTCTATAAAAACAAATCATATGGTACAGCTTCATGGGAACAGAATTGTTGATTTTAATAAAATATTGAGTCTGTAACTCACCTTAAAAAGTTTAAGATTTACTGTATAAATCTTTTCTTTCCTATAACTTTCTTTTTCTCCATGGATCCATGCTTTATCATATAAACTGATCTGAGATTTTTCTATTTTATATACATGGCAAACCAAATAAAGATAACTTTCTGGCAACTTATGTTTGACTTTAGTTCCCCCTTATGTTGAGGGTCCACAAGACCGCCCTCAGATTCCATGCTTCCTTAGGATGGCTCATGGTTGTGATTTATTATAGCAAAAGAATACAAAGCAAAGGGATAAGGTATGTGAGGTGAAGTCTAGAGGAAACCAGACACAACAAGCTTCCAAGAGTTTTATGGTGGAGTCACACAGGATGCCCTTGATTTTTCTAGCAACAATTTGTGACAACACATGTGAAAAGTCTATCAGGGAAGCTCATTAGTGTCCAAGGTTTTTTGTTGGGAGGTGGTCACATAAGCTTCAATTGTCTAATTCTCAACTCCCAGAAGAAAAGCAGATGTTCTGCATAAGCTACATTGTTTGCATGAGTAGTTTAGGCACTGCAAGCCACTCTTACTCCATCAGGTGGCAAGAATCCTGAAATGCACATTCTCAAATGCCAGCCACATGCCACCTTGAGAGCAGGCCTTCCTAAGGATAGCAGGGTTAGACCTCTTTTCTGTACACTTAACATTGCTACATGGGATGGGCATTTATCTTCCTTAACTTCCCTTAGTAATAGAAAGTCAACTCCTTGCTTACTTTATTCTTGAAATCCTCCTTTCTTAGCTTTTCTGACAATGTATCTTTTCATATAGATGCTGATCATTTATTTTCTGTCAGTTTTAGAGACTCCTTCTGTCTATTGCTTAAATATGAATATTCTGTAAGATTCTTCCCTTGGCTCACTGGTGGGTGAGCTCTGATTACATCAACTTCCTGTGTGTTGGTGATTTAGAATCTGCATGTATTTTTAATCCAGGTGTATTTCCCAAGTTGCCAGAAAACCTGTGTTTCCAGCTGCCTCCTAGAAATTTTTTCTGGACAGATGACAGTATTATGAACTTTGTATATTCAGAATTGAACTGAATACATAGCACTTCTCACCCACTCCATTCTGTTCTTTGTCCCTTTTATCAATAATCATTCAAAAAGTTCTTTGAGCCTAAGTGGTGTCCTAGAATTCTCCTTTCTCACCTCATATTCAGGGTATTCTGTTTCTCAGTATCCCTATCATCATTGCCACTATTTAATTCAGGCTCTCTTTATTTTTGCTTTGCTGCAACTGTATCTTCTGGTAGCTGCTTTATCCTTTTTCTCCCTCTCCATCTCATCCTCTACACCATTTCCAGAGAAAATTTATCAAATGTTTTTGCCATATTATTTCCCATTTTTGCCATTATTATTTCTCTGCTTGAAATGAGTGGTTTCCCAGTACCATTAGGGCATTTTTTTTTTCAAATTCCTTAGCAATTTAAGTAGAATCTCTAGAAATGCTTTTTAAAATAATATCTATTTTTTAGTTGTCGTTGGACACAATATCTTTATTTATTTATTTTATGTGGTGCTGAGGATCGAACCCAGGGCCTCGCCTGTGCTAGGCAAGCGCTCTACTGCTGAACCACGACCCCAGCCCCTCTAGAAATGCTTTCTTGACCTTCCCTCCTTATCTGCCTTCTAAGGCATGTGCCCCTCTTCTCCATTTCTCCATTGTGTTCCAATCACAACCTGTAGTACTTTTATTATAACTTAAATACACTGTTTTCCTTATCTATCTTTTTAACAATCTTTGAAGTTTGAGTACAGAAACCGAAGTCATTTTCTTTTGTTTTGATACTGGGAATTGAACCCAGGCCTTGTGTATGCTAGGCAAGCTCTCTACCCCTGAGCTACTACACCTCCAGCCTTGTTTTCATTTTTGTGTCAAGCAGCTATCATGTTATTTGACACCTAATATGTTTTTAGTAAATGTTAAATTGATAAATGAATTATTTGAAAATGTAATAATTTTAAATTAAGAATTTTGCTTCATATTGATAATCTTGGATATAGCCAATGTCTAAATCTTGTTCTGTTTCTTTGTGTCTTAGGTGTGGGTGTTGATGGAGGCAATGACAAAGATTGGGAAGCCAATGCCTGCAAAATTCAACTCATTAAGAAGAAAGGAAAAGTTAAGGCATTGGATGAAGAAGTTCACAGTAATGTACTTAGTTTGATTTTTGCCCCTCTCCCCACTAAATACCGCATATTTTGGAACCCATTTTGAGGATAATGATTCTTAAAGTTGAAGCAAGGGAAGAAAAGTTCTTTTGTTACTATTTGGATTGGCTTTAAGTTGTACATGAGCTTTAAAAATGATCATAACAACTAGGAAAGGAAAGTAGTTACATAGGGTTCAGAGCAAGCTCAGTGTCTTAAAATGAAGTAGCTTCAGAACTGCCATACCTGAGAAAGGAAGGGCTATTTGTAGGACAAAAGCTGTTTTTAGTGGTGCCCTTGTTCATGTGTCTTCACTTGGTGGTTTTCACTTTACTTAATAATGGCCCCAAAACATAAGAGTAATGATGCTGACAATTCAGACATACTAAAGAGAAGCCATGAAATACTTTTTTGATAAAAGATGTTAGTTTTCTCCTTAACAAAAAAAGGAAAGTCGTAAGCAGAGGTTGCTAACATCTATAGTAAGGATGAATCTGTGAAATTATGAAGAAGAAAAGAGAAATTTGTGCCAGTTTTTCTGTCACTCCTCAAACTGCAAAAATTATGGCCATAGTGTATGATAAGTGCTTAGTTAAGATAGAAAAGGTATTAAGTTTGTGTGTCATGTATATATAGGAAAACACATGGTATATATAGGGTTTGGTACTATCTGCAATATCAGCCATCCACAGGGTGGGTGAGATGGGAGGAACACTTGAAATCTATCCCTTATTGACAAAGTGGAACTACTGTATATTTTTCTGCAGAGGTGTAGAGGTGGTGTACCAGGGATTGAACTCAGGAACACTGGACCACTGAGCCACATCCCCAGCCCTATTTTGTATTTTATTTAGAGACAGGGTCTCACTGAGTTGCTTAGTGCCTCACTATGGCTGAGGCTGGCTTTAAACTCATGATCCTCCTGTCTCAGTTTCCTGAGTTGTTGGGATTACAGGCGTGTGCCACCTTGCCTGGCTGTATAATTTAATATAGCTTCTAGCATTTCTACAGCATTATTTTTTAAAATATGTAGTTTTTTTTTAATTAGAGCATTGTAATTATACATAGTATTTTGGTTCATTTTGACAAAATAACACATGTAGGGATTTAATTTCAATTCTTGTTACCCCTTTTCCCCCTCCCCTTTATCCCCCTATTCTCCCTTCTGTGTTGATCTTTCTTTTACTCCTTTATTCATTTATTTTTGATTGGTATATTCTACATATAAAGGTGAAATACCCTTTGAACATTTATATTTGTATATAATATGATTTTCTTAAATTCATTCCATATTTCTTCCTTTTTCCAATTCTTTCCTCCCTCCCTCTTGTTCTCCTTGTGTTCCACTGATCTTCCCCTTATCTTTATGATACCTTGCCCCCTCCCCTACAGCCCCCTCCCCCATTGTCTTCTTTCTCTTATTTTGTTCCAGCTTTCACATGAAAGAAAACACTGGACTCTGATTTTTCTGAGTCTGGCTTATTTCATTTAGCATGACTTTCTCCATTTCCATCCATTTACCGGCAAACACTGTTATTTTATCTTACTTATGGCTGAGTAAAACTCTGTTGTGTATATTATATCATATTTTTGATCGTTCATCTATTGACACACATTGGGGTTGATTCCATAATTAGTGATTGTGAATTATGCTGTTGTAAACATTGAAGTAGCTGTACCTGTATGTTGATTTTAGTTCATTTGGATTAATACCAGAGCGTGGAATAGCTGGATCATATGGTAGTTTCATTCCTAAATTTTTGAGGAATCTCTTTCCATAGTAATTGTACTAATTTGCAGTCCCACCAACAATGTATGAATGTGTTTTTCTCCACATGCTCACCAGAGTTTATTATTTTTTTGTGTTTTTGACAATTGCTACTTTAACTAGATTTTAGTTAAATTTTAGTACCTTTTTTTTTTTTGGTGATGCTGGGGATTGAACACCAGGCCTTATGCCTGTGAGACAGGCACTTTGCCAACTGAATTATGTCCCCAGCCCTTTAGTGTAGTTTTGATGTGCATTTCTCTGATTGCTAGATATGTTAAACATTTTTTTCATATATTTCTATTTGTGTTTCTTCTTTTGAGAAATGCCTGTTTAGTTTTTTTTTGACCATTTATCAATTGGGTTATTTGTGGTTTTTTTTTTTTTTTTTGGCATTGACTTCTTATATACTTTGGATATTAATTGCCTGTCAGAGGAGTAGCTGGCAAAGATTTTTTTCTTGTTCTATAGGTTCTCTATGTTCTTGATCACTTCCTTTGCTATGAAGATGCTATTTAATTTGATGGCCATTCCACTTGTTGCTTCTTGGTTTTATTTCTTGAGCTTTAGGGGTCAAACTTGGAATGGAACCACCATTTGACCCTGTTATCCTACACCTCAATTTATACCTGAAGGACTTAAAATTGACATACTATAGTGATACAGTCACTTCAGTGTTTATGGCAGCTAAGTTCACAATAGCCAAGCCCTCCTAATTGGAATAAGTTATACTTATTCTATGTATGTATAATATTTCAAAATATACTCTACTGTCATGTTTTAAAAAAAAAAGGCTGTCTTTTCTCCAGCATATTTTTTTTGCACCTTTGTCAGATATCAGATAGTTGTAAGTATGTGGGTTTGTCTCTCTGTCTTCTATTCTGTTCCATAGATCTTCACATCTATTTTGATGTCAATACCATGCTGTTTTTACTACTATAACTCTGTAGTATAATTTGAGATTCAGTCTTAGGATACTTCCTACATCACTTTGCTTGTTCAGAATAGCTTTGGCTATTCTGGGTCTCTTATTCTTTCAAATAAATTTAAAGACTATTTTTTATAGTTCTGTGAAGAATATCATTGGTATTTCGATGGGGAGTGTATTGAATCTGTATATTGCTTTTGATAATATGGCCATTTTGACAGTATTAATTCTGCCTATCCAAAAACATGGGAGGTCTTTCCATCTTTTGAGGTAAGGTTTTCTGTGATTTCTTCCTTCAGTGTTTTCATTGTAGAGTTCTTTCACTTCCTTGGTTAGATTAATGCCCAGATTTTTTTTTTCCAGGTTATTGTGAAAGGGATGGTTTTCCCTGATTTCTTTCTCAGCTGAATTACTATTGGAGTATAGAAATGTTACTGATTTATGAGTGTTGATCTTGTATTCTACTACTTTGCTGAATTAATTTATCAGCTCTAGAAGTCTTCTGGTGGATTTTTTGGGGGGTCTTCTAGATATAGGATCATGTTGTCAGCAAACAATTATGGTTTGACTTCTTTTTTCAATTTGAATCCCTTTAGTTTCCTTCTCTTGCCTGATTACTTTGGCTGGAGTTTCGAGAACTCTATTAAATAGGAGTGGTGGGAGTGGACACCATTATCTTATTCCTGATTTTAGAGGAAAACCTTTCAGTTTTCTCTATTCAGTATGATGTTGGCTTTGGGTTTGTCATATATAGCCTTTATAATCTTGAGATATGTTTCCCTTATACCTATTTTCTCCAGTGTTTTTAACATGAATGGTTGTCTGTAGCATTATTTAATACTGGGTTTTTTTATTTTATCTTCTTCAGAACAACAAGATATGGATTTGGATATAGAATTTGATGTACACCTTGGAATAGCTCATACCCGTTGGGCAACACATGGAGAACCCAATCCTGTCAATAGCCACCCCCAGCGCTCTGATAAAAATAATGGTATGAACATATTCTGTGTGCTTTGAATGATTATAGAGGGTCAGTAATGGGAGGAAGAATGAAGGCTCATATGTTTTTGTTATCTTAATTTGGAGAATTTCAGATATATTCAGAAATAGAGAGCATATAAAACCTGATACTTCTATTTCCCAGCTTTAACATTTATGCAGAACATGACCAATTAAGTTTATTTTTTGTTTTGAAAGTCAATAGATATCATATTGTAGTTTGATGACTCTTCAGTATTTATTTTTTGAGGTACTAGATGTTAAACCTAGTGCTTCACACATGCTAGGCAAGTGCTCTACCACTGAACTACATCCCAACTTTTTAAATTTTGTTTTAAGCTGGTCTCATTAAGTTGCCCAGGCTGGCCTTGGATTTGTGGTGCTTTTGCCTCAGCCTCCTTGGTACCTGGGATTACAGGTGTGTACCACTGTCCCTGTAGATAGACACACACACACACACATTTATATTTATATTTATAAATATATATACATTTGCTTTTGATACTGGGGATTGAACCCAGGGGCACAGGGGCACTTTACCACTGTCTTATATCCCTATTCCTTTTTTTTTTTTTAAATTATTTTTATTTGTTTATTTTTATATGGTACTAGGGACCGAACCCAGGGCCTCACGCATGTGAGGCAAGCGCTCTACCACTGAGCTACAACTCTAGCCCCATCCCCATGCCTTTTAATTTTTTATTTTGAGATAGAGTTTACTAAGTTGCTTAGGGCCTTGCTAAGTTGCTGAGGCTGCCCTCGGACTTGCATTTCTCTTCCCACATCATTGGGATTACAGTGACCATGTCTACAGTGCCTGTATATTTTGTATAAATTGGTATGATATTTGTTTTCCTCTGGAGGTACAAAATGTTTTTCTTTTTGTGCTGTTAGCAGCCATTGATGATCATTGCCATAATTAATTTGTGTAAAATTTAAAGATAAAACAGTGTGGTTTTAAATTTCCAATTCAGGTCCAGGGATATAAGGTTTTTTACTGAATCTCCTTGATCTGATATCTGTTTTTCCTTTCAAGCATGCTTAACCACTCTCAACATCTGCAATATCTTTATTTAATTTACCCCCTGGTATTCATAATAACAATAATAATACCAACATGACCATAACAGTATGTTTACTGAAAACTCTTTTTCTTTAAATAATTTTTTAGTTGTCAATGGACTTTATTTTATTTATTTATATGTGGTGATAAGAATTGAACCCAGTGCCTCACACATGCTAGACAAGCACTCTACCACTGAGCCACAACCCCAGTGCTGAAAACTCTTATTTAAAACTTTTAAAATTATTGTTATTATCCTTAGGGATGTATAATTAAATTAGTGTGTTTTAGGGTCACTTGGAACAGTGTCTTTATATGGTTGTGCTACCAGTTGGTTATAGCATTATGTTAATATATTTAATTTAGTTTTTAGGAATTTATTTTCTTAGCTGGGTGCAGTGGTGCATGCCTATAATCACAGCTACTCAGGAGCCTGAGGCAGGAGGACCAGAAGTTTGAGGTCTACATGGGCAGTTCAGCAAGACCCATTCTCAAAATAAAATACAAAGGGCTGTGGACATAGCTTACTAGTAGAGCACTTGCATAGAATGTGCAAGGCCCTGGGTTTGTTTTTATTTCCCCAGTGCTGGAAAAAAAATAATCTTATTAAAATTATTTAATATTTTGAAACCACATCGGTAGAACAAAGCATATTAAAAGAAGTCTAGGGGCTTCTGGAATAGAAAGAATGCATGTTTAATATGTGTGAGGCCTTGGGGTTCAATCCTCGGCACCAAAAAAGAAGTCTTAACTCTATATTGTAATTTTTTTTTTTTTTTTTTGTGATGGTGCTTAGAATAAAACCCAGGACCTTATGCATGCTTGACAAGTGTATATTAGTGAGCAATACACCAGTTCTTTAAACAGTTTTTTTAAGTCTGTTCTTCCCTTTAAAATGTAAGCAAATGCATATAGTTGAGTATGTGTGTGTGTATGTTCTTTTTGATTTTATAATTTAATTTAGAAGCTGCCTATTAAGTTTTCTGTGTCTCAATAATATGGAAATGAATTCTAGTGTTAGCAAACACTCAGATTTTTAACACTGAGAAGACCTTTATAAAAGAGTCCTAAAAAGTTGTATCTAAATTGTGTTTTGAGATTTTGGCTTTAAGTTAAGGCTTTTTGTCAACTACTTATGATTCTATGTTCTAACATTTAATTTTTTCTTACATTTATTTTTATAGTTGATATCATCTACTAAATGTCTAATGAAAGTATTTTTTAGTTTATAATGCATTTTAGTTCAGGTTCATTTACTATCAAACCCAGATGTCAAATCTTTAGGTATATTAAAAACATTATGATGATGTCATAAAAAATTAGATTTGGTCAGAAACCAGTGACCTGCTAGTAGTCACAGCTGATTTAGGGAGACTTGAGTCAGGAGAATCACTTGAGCTCAGGAGTTTGAGACAAACCTCAAAAACATAGTGAGACCCCATCTCAAAAAGGAGGAAAAAAAATTGGATTTAGTAATTTTTCTCCTGACATGTGAACTTTAATAAATCCACATGGGTAGTTTTACATACTCTGCCAGTGGCTACAAATAATGTTATTGACTCTTGATTATTTATTCTGACATTTTTATAAGTTATTTAGTAAGAATAGGTTAAAATGATTCCCAAATCATATTTACTTGCTCTTGGAATGATATTTTGTCAATTTTTATGTGACATTCCAGGAATGATCAGGATCTCAGGCAAGTAAATTTAACTATGAAACTGAATAACTGGGCTGGGGTTGTGGCTCAGTGGTAGAGTGCTTGCTTAGCACGCGGGAAGCCCTGGGTTGATCTTCAGCACCACATAAAAATAACTAAATAAAATAAAGGTATTGTGTCCAACTACAACTAAAATAAATAAATAAACAAATACTTTTAAAAAACCTGAATAACTGTCTGGTTATTCTTGGTGAGTTTCTTAACTTTAGATCTTTTAACTCAGAGTAAATCAGATGATTGTAGTAGTTTTGAAAGGCCTTTTCTTTAAATTTATACTGAGAAAAGAATGAACTGAGAAATGAGAATGAGTTAATTAGTTCAGGGGCTGGGGTTGTGGCTCAGAGGTAGAGCACTTGTGTACCATGAGTGAGACATTGGGTTCGATCCTCAGCACCACATAAAAATAAAATAAAGATATTATGTCCACCTATAACTAAAAAATAAATATTAAAAAAAAGAGTTAATTAGTTCAGCTTTCTCAGTTTACAAATGAGGAAACAGGCCCAGTAAGCTTTCTCCTTTCACCTGGCTGTATGGGATAGTAATTTAGCCACAACTGAAATTAATGTCTTTAGAATTCCAGTTTATTATTGTTTTCTTGCTATATGCACTATCCTAGCACAATATACTCCTGCTAAGCCACATAATACTGCTAATCTACCTGGTGATAATCTAATAATGAGAAATAGATAATACTTGATTCCACCAAGAAGTATAGACTTAAGAAAAATCTGTTCATAATAATAGTTAATTATAGCATTTATCAAACTTTTCATCATCACTGCTTTTATTTATACCTTTTAGAATTTATTGTTATTCATAATGGAATCATCACCAACTACAAGGACTTGAAAAAGTTTTTGGTAAGTAAAGTCACCTCAAAAGACACTGTCTTCTAGAATATCTCTAGATCAGTGAGATTATTTCTTAGGATGTGCAACACCATGTTAGTATGATCAGATAATTTCTAAGACAGTTTCAAGAGTTTGATGGTTTATTGACTGGAACGATTCTGTTTTCCTATATGAGAAGGCAATAATTATTTGACTTTATTATAAGTGACCAAACTTTAAATAAAATTGTAGTTTTGAGGGTTGGTAGCTTAGTGGTAAAGTGTTTGCTTAGCATTCACAAGGTGCTGGGTTTGATCCCTGGCAATGCAAAAATTTTAAAAAAAGTTTTTTTAAAGAGGTTTTTTTCTGGTACATCTTTGCTATGAAAGTCCCTATTTGATATATTTTAAAAAATTCTAGTACATATAACAAGAGCCAGTAAAGATTAAATGAAAGATCCTTGTCCTAACTAGCCATATGTTCTATTATAATGATTCATACTGGTGACCTTCTCAGACTTATCCAATTGAGCTTTCTGTAGTGATGGAAACATTTTTTGTTTTTTCTTTTGCAGTAACCACCACCCACATTAGACTGTTGACCTGGTGCGACTGAGAAATTGAATTTTAAATTTTATTTAAATTTAGATAGCCACATATAGCTCATGACTATTTTATTTTATTATACCATCATCTAAAAAAGAACTGGCATATTCATTATAAAACTGGTGTTTTGGGCTGGGGATGTGGCTCAAGCGGTAACACGCTTGCCTGGCATGCGCTGGGCGCTGGGTTTGATCCTCAGCACCACATAAAATAAAAAATAAAGATGTTGTATCCACCGAAAACTGAAAAATAAATATTAAAAAATTCTCCCTCTCTCTTCTCTCTCTGTCTCTCTCTTTAAAAAAGAAAAAGAAAAACTGGTGTTTTAAGTGTTACATATTTCATTATATTTTAATTATTTAAAATTTATTTTAATTCGTGTGGCATATATTTATATAAATTAAGTTATATGTTCAGTTAATCAGAATACCATTTTATTTTGGATTCATTGTAATCAGATGAGCAATGAAATATGGTGTTAAAAATTGGGTCTGGGATTGTGGCTCAGCGGTAGAGCATGGGTGGGACCCAGGTTCGATCTTTAGCACCACATAAAAATAAAGGCATTGTGTTGTGTTCATCTATACCTAAAAAAAATATTTTAAAAATATTAAAAATTAGATTTTTGAGGAAAAAATTCTGTAGAAAGGATTTGGATATCATATTTTCTTATTAAATGTATTTTTTTTCCCTCCTGCCCTTAGGAAAGCAAAGGCTATGACTTTGAATCTGAAACAGACACAGAAGCAATTGCCAAGCTTGTTAAGTACATGTATGACAACTGGGAAAGTCAAGATATCAGTTTTACTACCTTGGTGGAGAGAGTTATCCAACAATTGGTATTAAACCATACTTTTAAATCTAGTTATCCTAACATTGATCATGAGAAATTATTTAAATCTTATAAACAGGAACTATGCTAATTTATTATTTTTGGCTTTTATTTCCATATGCAAAACAATTCAACTTAAATAATTTTGAGATTGTTGTTTGACTTAGTGATTTGACTGCCTCCCTCAACTCTTAAAATTCTACTTATTTCACTGTAGTTTGGTGTAGTGAGATTGAAGAATAAGTTTGTCTGAAAACAGCATGCATGCACACTTGTACACATGACACATGCATATACACAGCACACATGGTAGAGAATTACCACTCTTTTGCTTCCAACCAATAATTTTAGCACAAGTACCTCCAGCAAAATGCAACCTTATTCTGGGATAACGTCTGCATGTCTCTCAGTCAGCATAATGGATTTTTTTTTTTTTTTTCCTTTTGGGCACTTTTCCTTGGCCCTGTACCTCCATATGAAAGTATTTTCCAGCCTAAGGAAAAAGCACTATTCTTTTGAATCCATCTCAGTTGCCCTAAGTAAAGACATCCAAGAGCCACAAAAGTCTAAGTCCATATTGATGCCTACATATATAACTCTAGCTTTCCCACTTAAAATCCCTTTCCTTCCCTGATATGATCCAACCCTTTCCTCCCACCCAAACTTTATGAAGTCTGTAGCAGAAGGAGTTAGGATGATGGTGAATTTCAAGGTTTGTTCCTTCCCTTTACCCATAGCAGAGTAGTGTGTCTTCTCACCCTTTTCTTCTTTTTACTGTATACTCTAGTTTGTGTTCTATAGTGGTTTTTTTGTTCTTCTACCTCAGGTTCTTCCTTTATCCATTCTTTAGACTCCGTACTTAGGAGGTTGGTTTGACAGGGTACAGTGGTGTGCAAGTTAATAATCATGATTGTATGTATTTACATTACTGATATCAAGGTCAAAAAGAATGAAAGTTAACAGTGGTTTACAATTACTAGGGTAAAGAATGGGTTTTGGATACTGAGCTTAGAATCTTTCCTTATTCTATCCTCCTGCTATTAATTTGTAGCATGGGAGATATGATGTATCTGTTGAGAAATGTTGGCAACGTATACAAAGGTGACTTTTTCGAATGGTCTGTTTTTGGAGCCATTATATATTAAGCATATTTTGAAAGTGGTCTTATTTTTAAAAGTTGGTCTTGTATATACCAAAGCTCAGGACTGTTTGCCTGAAATTCAGGCTTCTTTATAAACTAGTCCTTGTGTGAATGAAAGAAGTCAGAATGTTTCAAGCATTTTGCATTTGGTAATTGATTATAAGTATTACTAATGTATTTTTTTCCCCATAGGAAGGTGCTTTTGCACTTGTATTTAAAAGTGTTCATTTTCCTGGGCAAGCAGTGGGCACAAGGTACATATAAATCTAATAATGACTAATAATAATTGTATGTATTTTGAAATATTTGAGGGACAGGGTTATTTTGTGAAGCCTGTAAGTGACTTTCCTTAGAGGTATTCATGTAAGTGTTTATTTTTCATGTATTCCTCCTTGTTTGTTGTTACATCACTCTCTGATTTAGCAGAATCCCTTAATAAAGTAAATGCATTTTGGCATTTATAATTGGCCTTTTGTCTTTTGGGTAGGTTAACTGTGTTTACTTTGTGAATTTGGATATTTAATATTCTCTAATTTCAGACTCAAAACTTCAGCTTTCTTCATATTTTTTAGAAATATATGTTCCAGATAGATTCCTAGAAAATTGTACCATCACTGCTTTTGCCAGGATATTTAAAACCAATCATGAAGTCTTTTTAAAACAGTGAGGAACCTTAAGATTTGGTGAGAGAGAGAAAGATCGATCTTTAATCTGAAATGAAAGGCAGGATGGCTGAAGAGATCATTATATATTGGTGTTCTGTGTAGAAGCAAAAGAAAAATTTCATTTAACATTAAAAAGAAAAATTTCAAGTATGGTGTTATAGAATAGAAATTGGCAACCTTTTTCTGGATTGGGCCAGACAGTAAATGCTTTAAGCTTTCTGTGTCATGTAGTCTCTTTTGTAGCTTCAGTATCGCGGTACTAGTATGACAGCAGCCGTACATTGTATGTGAAAGAATGGGTATGACTGGGTTCCAGTAACCTCTTATTAATACAATTTTAGTTTGTCAATTAAAAATAACAGAAAGAAATCCTTATTTATAGAAATAGACGAGCATGTCCTGTGGGTCTTAATTTGCAAACCCATTTCATTTCTTATATCTGAAGGGAAAATTAAAACATTTCTTGAAGAATATTGATTCATTAACTTTGAAGATTGCATTATTAATATATTATTATATTACTTATATATATTATTTGTAAAAATATTATTTATATTAGTATATTATTTGTAAAAATGGTTTAATTCTGACTTAACTTGATTTACAGACGAGGTAGCCCCCTGTTGATTGGTGTGCGGAGCGAACATAAGCTTTCTACTGATCACATTCCAATACTTTATAGAACAGGTAAAACTGCTCTTACATCATGCCAATGGGGAAAATGTGTAAATTGAGTGCAGTAAATATAAAGAATTTTTTTCCTTAAATTGGAATAAATGCTTTTTTGCTCAAATTCATATGTACATATATATTTCTGTCTAGATGTAAAAAAGATTTGTTTTTGTGAGTTCTCTGACAAGTAGAATTATTTTTTCTGTTGTATATCCTTAGCTAGAACTCAGATTGGATCAAAATTCACACGGTGGGGATCACAGGGAGAAAGAGGTGGGAAATGCACTGTGCATGGATGGGGAGGAGTCATCCTCTTTTGTTCATTCTTTACTAATTCTTTGTTCTTGGAGTGAATGATTGTGCTGGGCCTCTAAAAATGTGCTTATTTTGTGGGGAACCATTTTGACATTTATTTTTCTAATTTGCAGAATATATTTTGTCTGTTTGCTTTTGGCATTTAGAAAACTGCTTTTAATAATTTGTTTTATTAAAATCTCTGAGATTTGAGAAAACAGCTGAAATCATAAAGTATTTTCTTCTGTTTTTTAAAATCATGTAGGATACCTCCTTATATTAGGGAAAAAAAAACACTGTGTTCTACATTATTATAAATTGAACCTAAGAGTAGTTGTTTGAATAATTTAGCCTAGCTTTTAACTGAAAATACATTTAAGTTGTCTTTATTTTATGCATCAGTTTATTATCTAAAAATAATGTCATTTGATATTTTGATTGGCTTTATTTGAATTTGAAATAATTTTGTGTTTGAGGTTTACTTGAAATTTTTTTTTTGTATTGGGGATTGAAACCAGGGGTACCCTGAGCTGCATCCCCAGCCCCTGAGCTGCATCCTCAGCCCCTTTGTTCCATTAAATTTGAGACAGGGTCTGATTTAGTTGCCCAGGCCTGGCTTAAACTTGTGATCCTCCTGTTATAGCTTCCTGAGTTTTTGAGATTACAGATGTGTGCCACCATACCCATTGAGGTTTTATTTTTTTAATAGGACTTCTACCTATATGAACTCTGAACCATTTTATTGGTACAATTATATATAAAAGTGACAACCACAGTGTGCTGTATTATTGCTAAAAGCTTTCTATGTAAAAGATAGGGAATGGTAGTTTCAGGAAATTGAAATTTATACATTCTTGGTTTCTTGGAAAACATTTAGCAAAGAACTTTAAGCCCTTTTGCCTTTGATGGTGTCTACATTTGTTCTTTTATCTAGAGCAGAAAGTTATTTTCTTAAATGACCTCCCCAGTCTTGAGATGCTAGAAGTTCTTTTCTTCCCCTGCCACTTCCCCATTCCCCCATCCCTGTTCCCACTCCCTAGTCTGTCTTTTTTTTTTTCTTTTTCGGTACTGGGGATTGAACTCAGGGGCACTTAACCACTGAGCCACATCCACAGTCCTTTTTTGTATTTTATTTAGAGACGGTTTCACTGAGTTGCTTAGGGCCTCACTAAGTTGCTGAGCTGGCCTTGAACTCATGTTTCTCCTGCCTCAGTCTTCTGAGATGCAGGGATTACAGGCGTACGCCATTGCACCCCACTCCACTCTCTGGTCTTTCCAGAAGAAAAATATCTGCCAATGAAAATATATAATTTGGACCCAGAGTTCCAGATTTCTGTGAATAATTTTGCTTGTGTATATATATATTCTTTATATATTGTAAGTTGTCTTGGGTTATTTTTAGAAATAATGAAAAACATTGGTTAGTCTTAAGAAATTAGAAGAAAATTTTATAGATTATATTTGAGTAACTATTTCACTAGGTATAGGTAGATAATATGTGGCTTAGTGAGGCCTCTTACTGAAGGGGTTGTGTAAAGAGAGAACTCTGGGCTGCCTTTTAGATTTTCACCATTTTTTCACAGTGTAATTACTGACCATATAAAATTAAAGCCTCCTTTCTCTCTGCAGGACAGGGATGATAATTGTATTCCACTTCTACCAGATGAGATAATCAATACACGGGAAACATTTTGGATATTATAAAAGCTGTATAGGTGTTACATAAATAAAAAATTCTTTTTTAATATTGTGATTAATTGTACTTTTGTACATTATCAATATTTGTAGTGAAGCTCAACCCTATTATGACATTTTATATACAAAGCTAGTTTTATACTTTTTTAAATATAAGTGCTGGAATATCCTATTTATTTTGATTTTTTTTTTCTTTTTGTACTGGGGATTGAACTCAGGAGCACTTTACCATGGAGCTACAGCCCTAGTCCTTTTGTTTTTTATCTTGCCAAGTTGCTGAGGTTCTTGCTAAGTTATTGAATTTGTGATCCTCCTGCCTCAGTCTCCCAAGTTGTTAGGATTAGAGGCATGCACCACTGTGCATGGCTTTTTCTACTTGTCTTTAAGTTCACTTTTCTTTTTCCTTCCCAGGACCTTGTGCATGCTAGGCACACACTCTGTTACTGAGTTTCACTTGCAGTGCTTTCACTTTTCTTTAGATAGAATAATATTCATTTTTTGATGGGCAGTTTCAAGAGTTTGTCAAAGCAAACAGTTGTTTAATCACTACCGTAATCAAGATGTACAACAGTACTCTTCTCTAGAGAGTTCCCTCAAGCTGTACCTTTGAAAACAATGGCAAGTACTGATATGTTACCTTTCCATAATGTTGTCTTTTTTAGGATGTTATATTATGCTTACTTTTTAAAGTTTGATATCTTCTCCTATTCTGAATTTAGGTGGGAGGAACTATTTCATTTTTTTTTAAACCTTTATTTTATTTTTATGTGGTGCTGAGGCTTGAACCCTTGTGCGCTTTGCACGTGCTAGAGGAGCACTCTACCACTGAGCCACAACCCCAACTCCGAACTATTTAATTTTCATGCCTAAAATACACTAAATAATTACAGGTGGTGGAGAACTTTGGATATATGTTTTTAATAACTGTTATTTCCAAGTCTTTATATGTGCATTTTAGAAGATGAGTTTTTATAATCTGGCTATTGTGTCGATAGGTTATGAGGTCTACTATGTCCTGGAGAATGGAGCCTTTTTTTTTTTTTTGGTCTTGAGTGTAATTATAGAGTCTTTAATACATTTTTTTTTCTACATGGGCTAATTTGTCAAACTTTAACCTACTTCCTCATGTTCACTTTAGGTGTAAATAAACAAGAAAAAAAAAAACAACCTTATCTATCACTGACTTGACAAATTAAGTAGAGATGCCAGAATTTTGAAGTGCTAGAATTAAAAAGGTGCTAACATTACAAAGGGGCCATACTCTACCCTGACTTAAAAGAAGTATAAGAAAATACAATTTTAAGACAGGAGAGATTCTTGGTCTGTATTATTTCTTGTGTCTGATAGTAGGTCCCTTGTAGGATGTACCATAGTTAGAGAGATATGTCTTTGTTTTGTTTTAAATCAGAATTAGTATAGACCACAACATGATTTGTTAGCTGATTTGCTATTGAAATCTAGAGAAGTTTGTTATGGGACAATGAAGATTAATTTGCCACTACTTATTATTATTCTATAGTTTTGATATTTTTAATGTAATTTTTGTGATAAATATAGGTCCACAAACTTACATGTATTAAGTCCATCACGTTTAGTGTGAGAAAAAGATTGAGATTAGTCTGTATTTATTTTTGATTTTTAAAAAAGTTGGTGGTATTAATGAATTATTGGATTTGAAAAGAAATATTACATTAAAAATTTTGTAATGTAGTACTATTATCTGCCATGCATTCTTTTATAGTTGCTATTTCACTCTACACTTTTGGTCTGTTCTTATTGCTTATTGCATGGAAATAAGGTATCTATCCGGCATTTAAAAGTTGCTGAAATAATTTTGTGTTGCTATGGTTTTTTTAAATTGTTGTTGTTATGTTGTTGATTTTGTAAAAAATTATGTATTTTTCTATATCAGGCATGATTTTCTACATATTTGCCAATTCACATTAACTGTGTGCTCTAGGCAAAGACAAGAAAGGAGGCTGCAATCTCTCTCGTGTGGACAGCACTACTTGCCTTTTCCCTGTTGAAGAAAAAGCAGTAGAATATTACTTTGCTTCTGATGCAAGGTGAGTTTCCTTAGTTGATTCACAGAGAATTTTTATTAAAACTTCTTATGTAAAGGAAATTCAGGAAGAAGTCATTTTGTAGAAGTCGAGTCACGCTGTATAAGAGAACTTTTTTATTTTTACAGTTCTAGAGGTGGAACCTCATGCATGCTAGGCAAGCACTTCATTGTTTTGCTTGCTTGCTTGCTTCCTTCCTTCCTTCCTTTTTTTTCATTACTGGGGAGTGAACTCTCAAGGCTTTGCTCATGCCAAGCAAGTGCTCTGTCACTGAACTATGTCTCTATGCCCAGGCAAGCACTTTACCAATGAGCTATACCCCATGCCTAAAATTTCCTTGATTAAAGTAGAGGTGACTTTTTTTTAAATCTCACTTCAAACCAGGTAGGTCAGTTTACCAAAAAAAAAAAAAAAAAAAAAAAAAAAAAATATATATATATATATATATATATATATTTGACAAATAATAAAATAATAAAAAAATATATATATATATATATATTTTTTCTTTGAGACTTGTTCCAGTGTATTTACTTTCGAGCACTTGTGTTTTTTTTTTTTTTTTTTTGGTCTTTCTTTCATGAGGCTTATTTAGGTTTTGTAGGGAGGAGAGATCTTAGATTAAAGAGTAGAATTAGCTTAGTTACTATCACAATTAATAGTATAGTTGCTGAACCATTGTATTTTAGTCTTTTTTCCTGCATTTTTTATTGGTGCATTATAGTTGTGCATAATGGTGGGATTTATTGTTACATATTTATACAGGTACACAGTGTAGCAATAGAATTTGGCCAGTATCATTGCCCAGTATTTCCCCATTTTGTAGTTTTCATCTTAATGTGGACACTCATTTTCTTATTTTTTTTTTCATTTGGAATGAACTTGGAGCATAATTATTTCTCTAAAGGATTAGTATTAAACTAAATTATTTTGAAAGAAAATGTGTTGCAATGTTTAGATTCATTTATAAATAAAATACTGTAGTAATGGGGGTAAAATGGAATTACTCAAATTGCCAGTAAGTATGTGATTTAGTCACTGAACCTGAAGATAAGAGGCAATAATAAAAATGAGAAAATGATTCCATGTAGGACGACTTCAGGGAATATGTTATCTTAGTAAGAAAGCAAGCTTCACTGTTTTCTAATTTTTACAAATATGTAAGATGTGTAGTCAGTTGGTTTACTACAGAGTTGACAGTTACTGCTTAAAAAAATTGGAAATTGCAAAAGTATACCATTTTTTTCATTCATTCTTGCATTCTGTTGAACACTCTGAGCAAAGCCATGTGCTAGCCTCAGGAAATATGATAAAAATTAAAGTATTATTTGCCCTTAATGAGTTCTTCCATAATGGAGGAGACAAATTTTAAACACCAATTACACAACCATCAAATTACCACTATGACAAAAGCTACAGAATACTTTTAACAGGGTGATACAGTCCTTTGTGGGTAGATTTTTGTCAAGGGGATGAAGCCTGAATGGAGAGTTAAGGGGAGAATAGGAATTAATTTGGTGAAGGGGTGAAGAAAAGAATGTTCATTCTCTATAGGTGGCTCATCCTATGAGAATTCAGGAGGGATGTGAGTATGGTTGGAATAGAGCATAAGAGGAATCTTGGTGGGAGAAAAGATTGGAGAAGAAGGTGTAGGGCTCATGGTAAGACATTTTGATGTTTTCCTAAGAGCCAGAGGGAAGTCATGAAGTGGTTTGTTGCGGGGGGAAGCATTTTGATCAGAGTTGCCTTTTGATATCAATTATGGCAGAAAAGGAGAACGTGTAGAGGAAGGTAAGAGAGAATGTGGGTGAACTAGTTAGGGTGCTGCAGTGGTAAGAGTAGATGGCAGCTAGTACTTGTTTATGACAATGGACTTGGAAGGAAATTTTGAGAAATGTTTAGAGTTAAAATTGCAGAATTTTCTGATGGGTAGAAAAACGAGGAAATAACCATGCCTTCTGATCTAATCTAATTTAGTTATGTTGCTAGGCAGAGTTTGTTTTATTTTTTGTCTGCAATGACCCTCCCCACCTCCACCAACATTGCCCTGAAAGGGATAGCACTGATAACTAGAAAATTAACAAAAGTATTGCAAGATGGTGGAGTATTTGTTTGTTTATTTTGAAGTACTGAGGATTGAATCCAGGACCTTGCATATGCTAGGCAAGTGTTATACCACTGAGTTGTTTCTCACCCTGGAGTTTGTGCTTAAATTTGATTTGTGTATCCTAATGATAGTTTTGTTTGTAATAATGATCCTTGATTATTGATATTTATATCTCCTTGAACATTTTCTAGTGCTGTCATTGAACACACCAATCGTGTCATCTTTCTAGAAGATGATGACGTTGCAGCAGTTGTGGATGGCCGTCTTTCTATCCATCGAATTAAACGTACTGCAGGAGATCATCCTGCTCGAGCTGTGCAAACCCTCCAAATGGAACTCCAGCAGATCATGAAGGGTGAAAGTTTTTGTCATGTTGTAGCTTGGTGTCCTTAAAAAAAGGAGCTATTCTATTTCTTGTCCTACCAATGAATCTAACGATATTGCTGAGTGATATCTTCCATATGATTAATGAAGGGACGGTCCCAGGAAAAGAGATGATTCTTTAAAGAAATTATCTGCATTTCTTCCAGTAGTTCTTCAAACTAATTCATGGTTGGTTCTAACATTATGAAAAATAGATTGATTAATAGTGCCTGATATTTTCAAGATATTTTATATCTCTTCTGTTTTATATGTGTTCTTTTTCTCATTCTTTTTGTATTCTCCCCATGCTTCAGTTTTTTCATATATAAAATGGTTTTCATAGAACCTACCTCATTAAGGTTGTTTTGAGTACTAAGGGAATTTAATACACTTCAGAATAGTGCCAGACACACTTAGTGAATCCTGAATAATGTTTGTTGTTGGTAGCTATTGTGATAATTATGGTTTTTATTTTTATTCTCCTTTCTGATTGAATTGTGGGAATAAAAGTCAACACTTATTGCATAACTGCTATATGTCATATTCTTTGCTATATTAATCTGTACCACATGTACACAATGCAGTAACTGCTGTTCTTATTTTACAGATTAAGGAATTTCCCCAGTTAAGATAGTAAAGGATAAAACCATGACTTGAACCTAGACCTAGACTGACTCTAAAAATTAGGCTTATATTATTTCCCTTTTTTTGCTCTAACTGTATATCTTGGGTATGAAGTAAACAAAGACTTTTCTTACTTGTTCATATTTTCTCACATAGTGTAAAATATATGCCTTCAGTCCATTAGGCAGTCATGTGTGAATACTGTTTTTATTTAGCAAGATTATGTTAAAGGAGACAGTTGGGTACAAATTTCTTTTTATTGGGCTTATTAATTTTTGTTTTACCTTATATAATTTCTATGACTTAGGCAACTTCAGTTCATTTATGCAAAAGGAAATTTTTGAGCAGCCAGAGTCTGTTGTGAACACGATGAGAGGAAGAGTCAACTTTGATGACTACACTGGTAATGACATAAGCCATTATTGTATTAAAGTCTCTTGTATGTGTTGGGGGGGTGCCATTAGTCATCTGAATATTTATTGTCCTTTGTAGCCTTGGGAAACAACTGTGGCCTCCAGCCATCATGGATGGTTAATCCTTTAGTGTATGAGACTACTTATATGAGGTATCTAGAATAGTAAGATTCATAAGGATAAAAGTAGATTAATGGTTGCCAGGTGCTGGGGAAAGGGTTATTGTTTAAAGTGGGTAGAGTTTCAGTTTGGTATGGTGAAAAGCTTCTGGAGATGGACAATAGTGATAATTATGCAACAATGACTGTAGTTGGTGCTACTTATTTTTTGCTTTAAAATAGTTAAAATGGCAAAGTTTATGTAATGGGAACCTGCTGTGACTGTCAAGGACAGTTCTGGACACTATCCTTGGCACTGAATTCTAAGAACAATATCTGGTCCACCTACTGGGAAGCTTACATGTATCTACCCAGGCTAGATTTTCTCTTTCCAGTTATAAATAAATAAAGATGTAAACTTCCCCAGGGATCTCAGGTAATTCTGATGCCATGTGGTCTAACCTGTACATGTTTAAGGTGGAGGTCAGAGTTCAACATTAGTTTTGTTTGTGGAAATTCTCTTTAGACCATGTATAACAGACACATATGTCTTTGGCCATAGACAATCAGTCTCAAACTCCTCTTATAGATTTGAGTGAATAGGAAAGTGATATCTGATACAGTCTTGACCTTGAGGTATACTAATAATCTAGGGGTGGGGATGAATATATAATTAACTATTTAAATTAAGGCAAAATATGATAGTTGACATTAGAAACTCATTTTAATGTTCAAATGCTTTAAGTTTAATGTTGAATTTAGGGAGGTAGAGAATGAGTCTGTGGAAAGGGGCTTTGGGATCAAGGAAGGCTTCACAAAGTAGAAAGGTGTGGGTTTTCAAGAATTTGGAAGGTTCTATAAGAGAAGATCTGTTGGGGATGTAGGTTGTGTAGAAGAGCATTAGCTAAGGGGAACTAGTGAAAAAAGAATGAGGAAGATATTTATGAAATAGTTTGTAGTCTAGTTTGTCTCCTGGACCTAGTACTTGAAGAGGAGTAAAAAGAAGTCTAGGAAGGAAGGGGAGGGGAACTTCTGTGAGGGCCTTGAATGCATTCTAATGTGGGGACTTGTTGGGGTACCTCTTTTTATAGAAGTTACAGAATTGTCATAGATGAGGAGCCAATGTTGGTGCTCACTATGCTTTCCTGAAGTGGCTGGGTATCACTCTCCACTGTCCCCTGGAGGAGTGAGATGCTGAAATGCAGTTGTCAGCATATTGTTCTGTCTGGGGTACAGGGAAAGGAGAGGGAGGTGGGGACCACAAGAGAAATAGGACCTACATTTAGCTGTGTGAAGGAAGGGGTTGTCAAAGATGGTTGAGTTGAAAGAACTGGGAGAGTAGTAGTAAATACCACTGTGGTATTTTTGAAATTAAGATCAGGAAAAAGATTTGTTTTATAAGGAAAGAAGATAAAATAAACTGTGAGAAGTGTATTGTCCTCTCTACCCCCTGATCCCAGGCCTTGAACATGCTAAGCACATGCTATAACGCTGAGCTCTAGCCTCAGCCCTTAGAAGTTCATGGCTTTTAAAAGCTCTATTATCTCTATTAATGTACATAAAAGTTCTATAATAAAAACAAGATACCTGCAATCTTAGTTGTTAAGATGAGGAAATCAAGGCCTTGTCAGTTTAAATATCTTCGCCCAAGGTTACATTTCTCAGCATTCATGGAGCATTCATGTGTTCAGTGTAGTTCCCTAGTGCTCTGCAGCCTCACCCCTGACCACTAGGCCTAGTTATGGCCTACGTTATCAGAATTAGACTTCTTCAAAAGCATCAGCAATTTGGACCTTGGGGAACTCCTTCCAGAACTATCCTAAGCCCTCTTAACTATGAGGGAATTTGCTAGGACTGATTTTAAGGAAACATGATGGCCAGTCAATTTCATCATTTTACCTCCTTGTCATTCTTGGTCGCCACCTACACTACAGTCTCTGCTTTTATACTAATTCTTCTGATTTGTCGTTGCATACCCTGATCCAATCTTGAACTATTGTTTCCTTTCTTCCCAAACCTTTGCAGTGCATGCTAGGGTCTGTGGAAAAAACTTTAGGTACAGTTAATTTGAACAGGCTTGGCCTAGTGCAGCCATAGTGAGTAGGCTAGTCTGCCTACCAGGGCCTGGATGAGGGGAAGTGCTAGAGATAAAGTCAGATCAAAGTAGGTTATATGCCAGGGGGCGGGGGGGGGGGCTTGAAAGCCACAAGGAGTATGGATTATATTCTAAGTTACTTGGGAAGCCAGTGATACTTTTTGTTGCTTTATTTTTTACTTCACTGACTTCTTTTCATAGAAGAGTACAATACCCTCTGTTATTATTGAAATTTAAAAAGGAGAATATAAAATCATTAAAAATAACACCAAAAGTAAAACATGTACCTTAGTTTGTTAGCATAAGTAAGGTGGAAAAAAGCGTGGGGAAATAAAGAGAGCAGGTTTAGGGCATGACAGCACAGGAGAATGATGCTCATGAGGATGTACATGTTTTCCTCTTCAGCCAGGATCTGAATTGTGTGAGTCTAGAGCTCTGCTAGCCACTCAAGGCCTTGACCAGGATATTCATGTGGTGGGTGCTTAGAGGTATGGGTTGAATAATCAAATGAATGTCAAATGAGAATTTCTCCCAGGTAGAATACTAGTCTGTGTAGAAGGATCTATAGAGAAGACAAATGAAGAACAACACACCAGTAACTATAGAGACAGAAAAAGAAACAGAGGATAGACTTCATTAGAAGGTTTCAAGATCAGATTTATGTTTTTAAAGGATCTTATTTTGGCTGTGTGTGGAGGGCAGATTCCAGGAAGTCAAGAATACAAGAGTGAGTCAGGGAAATGTTTTTTTCTAAGGGAGATGGTGGTACTGGGGGATTGCAGTACAGGGACTGTTGAAGGTGGACATAGGGGAGGGTAGGACCAATCAGGATAATGCTGACATGGAGCAGTTAAGTGGTTGTCAGTGGCATTTACTGAGATAGCAAAGGCTGAGACTCAGTAGGTTTATTTTATATACTGAGCACTATTCTGGGCAGAGGGCAGTGGAAATAAACATAATAAAGATAATTTTTTTCCAGATAGGTTTATAAAAGGATAATAAAATTCACATTCTTAGTATAAAATTCTTTTTTGTTGTTGTTGTTGTTTGTTTTTTGGTGCTGGGGATTGAACCCAGGGCCTTATGCATGCAAGGCAAGCACTCTATCAACTAAACTATATCCCCAGCCCTAAATTTCTGTTTTTAAATTTTGTTTTGAGATGGAATCTCAAATGCTGCCCAAGTTGGGCTTGAGCTACAGGGCTCTAGTGATCCTCCTGCCTCAGCTTCCTGATAATATTCTGAGTTTTGATAAACCTCTGCAGAACAGTCATAATCCTGACTTCTGTAAAGTCAAGATGTGGAACATTTCCATCACTCCATAAATTTCTGTGTCCTTTATTATCAGCTTCTGCCTACCTCCAGTCTTCAGCTTCTTCCTATCTGTTGTTTATGTCCCTTTGCCTCTAAGATAACTTTTACTTCAAAGGGAAAAATGTAAAAATGACTAAACAAATTAGAATGTAAGTACTGTGATTGCATGCCCTTGGACCAGGGTGGTAGGTATAGTTAGTTACGAGTTTGGGGGACAATTAAGTTATGACCTATTAATTTCCTTTTCGTAACTATGGAGAACTATGCTCCCTAAAAGGAATATGAATTCTTTGAAACAGCAGTGTTATTTCTCATATCGTAGTAGACACTTATGAAAGGTCACTTCATGTGGTTTTTCCTAAATAATTGTGTTCTCAAACTTTTATTTCAGTGAATTTGGGTGGTTTGAAGGATCACATTAAGGAGATACAGAGGTGTCGGCGTTTGATTCTTATTGCTTGTGGAACAAGTTACCATGCTGGTGTAGCAGTAAGTGACCTTTTAAAATTCTCATTATGTTATTTTAGATATAAGAGGATATCTGAAGACCAGCAGTGCCTCTACTAACACCTTGTAAAACTCTTGTTCAGATGTGTTACTTTTTCATGACAAATTTCAGGAAGATTTAGGGGATTTTAAAAGTTGGTCGAATTATTTATCAATGGAAGATTTGCTGTAGACAGGTCTTTAGATAACAGAGGGACTACCTGAAGCTGACTTCATGAAGGACCAAGAGGGATGAGTTTGTTCACCATTCCAGGCTTGTAGCCTTGGGAGTATGTCTACTTATATGAGAGCAGTCATTTGGTTTTACTTAGCATTGCTCAATTGCCCCAGACAGGTGACTAGTAATGTGTCAACATCAGCAGGAGTTTACTCCATAGGCCATTACTGTCAAGAAAGGAAGTCTGCTTTTGGTCAGACTTTGTTCTTTAAATTGATATTTTAGAAGCTAAAGTTCTGTATTAAAGATGTTTATTAGCTTTCAGTATAGGAATTATAGAATGTGATGGTCTTTTAGTCCAGTAAATCAGATCTACATGTAGATTCTTCATGAATGAGCCAGATTATGTACTGCTTATCTAAAGAGGATTTTTACATTCAATTTCTGCTTTTAGGATTGATTCCCCAAATTCATGACATAGTAATTTTTTTAAAAAACATTTTTTTCTTCGTTGTAGATGGACACAGTACATTTACTTTATTTATTTTTATGTGGTGCTGAGGATCAAACCCAGTGCCTCACACATGCCAGTCAAGCACTCTATGACTGAGCCACAACCCCAGCCCGACATAGTAATTTTTACTTGCTAGGGCATACATAATTTGTATCTTAAATTTGTGAAACCATCTGATCTCCAGCTGTTACATCCCCAAAACCCCCCCCCAAAATTTATTTGTTCCAAAAAGGAAAGGCTATGCAATATTGAAGGGAAGAGGTCTGGAGTGATTGAGTATGAGAAGAGGAATGAGTTAAAAATATTAGTGTAAATTAAAGAAGGGATGGGCTAACTTACTGGTGCTTTTGGTCATCTACTGCTCTCAATTGGGGACAGAAATGATACACTGTTAGAAATTCTTGTATCATCTCTAAGTATGATATATAATGCAAGGTTTTTTGTGGATGTCAAGATTACTATAGTTGATGGACATTAGAGATCCCCTCTATGGTTTGTCATACAAAATAGTGCCATTTTCCCCCATTAATTTGAATTGTACATGTTTGTTTTTTTGGTGGGTCAAATGTATATGACACATTTTGTATGAATGCTTTTTATGTCCTGTGTATCCTGAACAATAACAACTTACTACACTTAAATCATTCTAAGTATAGCATGCTTTTCAAAATTTTGGTTTTTTTAATATGTGTATTGTGTTTTTTAATATGTGTATTGCTCTGAAGAATTTAATTCCAATGTAATACTTATATTGTAAAGTGGGGGGAAAGTTGGATTTACATTTAAAGGGGAAATGTAGCATTAGCATTTTTTTTTTTTGTAGTTGTTGATACACAGCATGCTTTTATTTTGTTTATTTTTATGTGGTGCTGAGGATCAAACCCAATGCCTCACCAAGATTGAACCTAGTGCAAGGGAAGTGCTCTGCCACTGAGCTATAGCCCCAGTCCTCTTTTTTGCTTTATTTTTTAAAATTTAATAAAATTTGTTCTAAGTAGTTGTGCATGACAGTAAAATGCATTTTGACACATCATACATAAATGGAGTATAACTTCTTATTTTGGTTGTACATGATGTAGAGCTACACAGGTCATGTAATCATATTATGCATATAGGATAATAATGTCCAATTAATTCTATCATTCTTACCCCCATATCCCTTCCCCTCCTTTCACTCCCCTCTGTCTAATCAAAAGTACCTCTATTCTTATATAGACCCCCACCCTCCTCCCCAATTGTGAATTAGCATCTGCATGTCAGAGAGAACATTCAGCCTTTGGTTCTTTGGGATTGGTTTATTTTGCTTAGTGTAATATCCTCCCATTCCATCCATTTACTGGCAAATGCCAAAAATTTCATTCTTTTTTAAGGCTGAGTAATATTCCATTGTGTATATATGCTACAATTTCTTTATCCACTCATCTGTTGAAAGTTCCCTAGCTTAGCTATTGTGAATTGAGCTGCTATAAACATTGATGTGGCCACATCACTGTAGTATGCCGATTTTTAAGGCCTTTGGGTATGAACCTAGGAATGGAATAACTAACTGGGTCAAGTGGTGGATCCATTCTAAGTTTTCTAAGGGATCTCCATACTTCTTTCCAGAGTGTTTGCAACAATTTGCAGTCCTACCAGCAATGTATGAGTATATCTTTTCCCCCCATCTTCACCAACACGTATTATTGCTTGTATTCTTGATAATTCCCATTCTGACAGGAGTGAGATGAAATCTTAGTTTTGATATGCATTTCTCTAATTGCTAGAGATGTTGAACATTTTTTCATATATTTGTTGATCCATTGTGTATCTTCTGGGAAGTATCTGCTCATTTCTCTAGCCCATTTATTGATTGGGTTATTTGATTTTTTTTGGTGTTAAGTTTTTAAAAATTCTTTATATATCCTAGAGGTTAGTGCTCTATTTGAAGCGTATGTAGTAAAGATTTTCTCCCATTCTGTTGACTTGCTCTTCATGTTATTGTTTCCTTTGCTATGAAGAAGCTTTTTAGTTTGAATCCATCCCATTTATTGATTCCTGATTTTGTTTCTTATGCTTTAGGAGTCTTGTCAAGGAAGTCAGTTTTCCATATAGATTTCCAGTTTTCCCAGCACCATTTGTTGAAGAGGCTGTCTTTTCTCCAATGTATGTTTTTTGCGCCTTTGTCTAGTATGAGATAACTGTATTTATGTGTGCCGCAGTCTGGCTGGGCACAATTCAGGAGCCACTTATCAAACAGAAACGAACTTTATTTTTAGAACACACAGGCCACACCACAGGAGCTCTTCAGGAATTCCCTCAGAGCCCAACTGCCACCACCGGCTTCCCACAAGCCTCTCAACCCCCCTCTCCTCCTGCTCTTGCAGCCGATTGGCTGGGTCGCATGGGCGGAGCCAAAAAGTCCCCCAGTGAGCAGCTCCGTGGTCTGAAAGGGCGGGGAAACAGCCCAATGAGCATCACCGCAGAGGAGCCAATCAACTGGCAGCTAGAAGTTTGCTGGGGCTGCTGTGAGCCAATCATCAGGGGGCAGCTGGAAGTTTGCTGGGGCCCCTTCGGCTGTGGCTCTCAACATCTCCCCCTCTCTGTTTAAACAACAAGCATGTGGCTTAGGGACCGTGCCTGCCTTAGATTGTCCAATATTACATATGGTTCTTACCCGTCATCGGATGAGCTGACCTCAAGGCGTCAGCCTCCTGACTTAGGTTGGTACCATTGCAATTGGATCTTACCCATCATTGACTACCGGTCCAGCATACAGCCACACCTGTGGATAGGTCTTTGTACCAGCAGGGGGGTGAGGTTCTTTTCCTCACCTCTGTTGGCCCCCAAATTTTAGCTGAACGACCATCACAAGCAGAAGGGAAGAGGATACACCAAGCCAATTGACTGCTTCTTTTGGAAAAATTGTACCACCGATGACACCATCAGCAAAAATACCCCAACACTACCACAAGTCGCTGCACCAACAGATAGTTCACAATGCATACAAGTGAGTTCACAATGCATACAAGTGATACATAGTCCAGGCAAGTTCTGCAAGCAGTTCAGTGATAGCTATTGTAGAAGCTGTAGATTGGTTTTATCTTTGTCTTCACCGGCACTGGGATGAAGATAGGAATTCTGGCAATAATGGCTAAAGAAAAAATTACGTAACATTCCAGAAGGCACTAAAGAAAAGTTTGCTGGGGCCCCTTCAGCTGTGGCTCTCAACATATGTGGGTTTGTCTCTGTGTCCTTTATTCTGTACCATTGGTCTACATATCTATTTTGGTGCCAATACCATGCTGTTTTTGTTACTATAGCTTTATAATGTAGTATAAAGTCTGATATTGTAATGCCTCTTGCTTCACTCTTCTTGCTAAGGATTGCTTTGGCTATTCTGGGTCTCTTATTTTTCCAGATGAATTTCATGATTGCTTTTCCTATATCTATGAGGGATGTCATTGGTATTTTTATTGGAATTGCATTAAAATTGTATAGTGCTTTTGGTAGTACGGTCATTTTGACAATATTAATTCAGGAACAAGGTAGATCTTTCCATCTTCTAAGGTCTTCTTTAATTTTCTTCTTTAGTTTTCATTGTAGAGGTCTTTCATTTCTTTTGTTAGGTTGATTCCCAAGTATTTTTTTTTCCTGAGGCTACTGTAAATGGGGTAGTTTTCCTAATTTCTCTTTCAGAGGATTCATCAGTAATGTACAGAAATGCATTTGATTTATGGGTATTGATTTCATATCCTGTTACTATGCTGAATTTTTTGGTTCTAGATGTTTTCTCGTGGAATTTTTTGGATCCTCTAAGTGTAGAATCATGTCATTGGCAAACAGTGATAGTTTGAGTTCTTCTTTTCCTATTCATATCTCTAATTTTTTTCATCTGTCTAATCGCTCTGGCTAGAGTTTCAAGGATTATGTTGAATAGAAGTGGTGAAAGAGGGCATCCCTGTCTTGTTCCAGTTTTTAGAGGAGATGCTTTCAGTTTTTCTCCATTTAAGAATGATGTTGGCCTTGGGCTTAGCATAGATATAGCTTTTACAATGTTGAGATATGTTTCTAATATCCCTAGTTGTTCTAGGTTTTGAACATGAAGGGGTGCTGTATTTTGTCGAATGCTTTCTCTACATCTATTGGGATGATTGTATGATTCTTATCTTTAAGTCTATTGATGTGATGAATTACATTTATTGATTTTCATATGTTGAACCAACCTTGCATCCCTGGAATGAACCCCCACTTGATTGTGGTGCAATATCTTTTTTTTTTTTTTTGCTGGTGCTGGGAATTGAACCCAGGAACTTGTGCATGCTAGGCAAGTAC